TCCCTTCCCTTCCCTTCCCTTCCCTTCCCTTCCCTTCCCTTCCCTTTCCACTGTCTACCCATGACTTGCAGTTTTCTTCAGTTGCCTCCATTAGCAAAGCAGTCTTGTGGTCACTTTTTTTATTGCAGACAAAGACTTTTTTTGGAAGCTAATTGTACTACACTTTAGTACTCAGTATACCCAGCGTGAGTGTTTGATCAGACACAGGTGTAGAACACCTTTTCTACACTGATGTAGCCTGGTCACAAACAGTAAATGTGAAGGAAGTGGGCACAGAGGCCAAGTGACCTCCTGGGGTTCCTGTGTAAGTATTAAAAGAAGAGCTTTAGAAATATTCTCACAGCTCGAAGACTTCACATCATTGCTCTAAAAATGTAAGAGGAATACAAAATATTCATAATTTTAGTACTGTCACTTTCATGTGGCAAATAATGTGCATGTTACCATGTCATTTACAGAGGTATCGAGCCATTCTATACACTCAGCAGGTGGTTATGCCCATGTGTTCTTCAACGCCTTGAATAATACATAATTTGTTCAACAGTACTGAAGTTTGCTGTGTTATGGTTAATGATGCTCTCAGGCACGTATTTTTGAAATGCTTCAATTCCCTGTTCCCTTCTCTTCACTCTTCCTCCCCTCTCTTTCAAACTGTCAGAGCCAGTCAGCATCTTTTACACAATTCTCTGTGAAATTGATTGGACCACAGAGCATGCAATCAAAGAAAAGCACATGTGCTGGCTTTAGAAATTGGTCAAGAAGGGACCATCACACAGGCTGTGCATGTTGGCTTTTAGGAAATGAGGGCTTTTTAGCACTGGTCAAAGTCAGTGAGAAAGGAGGAAGGCGTTACTACAACTATTCCCAGTTTCAGTGCATTCTCTCTCTCCAAGTTGTTCCTCTAGGAAATGTCACTGCTGTGGTCTAAGTGATCCCCCTCCATGTTGTCAGCAATACAGAATTTAAAGTGTAAGCAGGACCAGTGTTCTAGCTCCACATACCTGCTGCTGGCCTGCTTTATACCAGCCATGCATCAGGGCAGAGGGAAATCACTCACTGATACAAACTATAAAATGAAATGAACCCAGTGTTTCCCATTCCCGTAGCCTGGCCTTGGAGCACATCAGCTTTCAAATCATTCTGTAATATATGAAATATTCACTCACATGTACATACTTCAGGTTTCTATTAGTTTGAGGACCATCCATCACTGGCCACCATACAGCCCTGTGAATTTACATCAGACTTTGTCAGGACAGTGCTAACAAACTCAACACAAGTCTTAATGACTCTTGGGAACACCAACACTTTTAATGCCGCTCTGGGCCAGCACCTCACAACTCTCCCTGTGCTTCTGATCATAGATACTGCACATTATTTTTCCCGTGCATTATTAGGAGCAGGGAAAGGATAACATTCATCAACACTTGGGCTCTTCGCTGGCATCTGCCCTCCACATAAAAAGGTCTTGGCACATAGGTCACTCCTTGGGCAGACAGTACTTGCAGCCACGCTGTTGACAAGAGCTTAAGCTATTTTATTTTAAAATTATGGACAGGTTGCCGGCTGTAAAATGAGCATTCATAATTAAAGGGCTACGGTCCTGCACCAGAAGAGGCTCAGCTCACCCCCTGCAGGAGCCTGAGCTGGCTCCTATCCACACACCCTGCCCCAACTCATACCAGCAAGAGGTGGGGCACAGGAAATATGGAAAGCTCCCAGAGTGAGAGCAAGATTCGAGCCCTGCAGAGTCAGATGAAAGACTCTATTGACTTTGAGTCAGATCCTCAGCAAATACTTTGTTAGATATAATCCTGTATCTATCAGCACTTACATCGAGTGAAAATGGTTCGCCGTCACAAAGCCAATGGTTTTCTATTTATCTTGTGTGTACTTTAGGTGGTATCACCAAAAAGCCTTCCCCCCCTCCTCCCCCCCTCTACTCCACTTTTTGAAAATACTTTCAATCCATTTTTATTTCTTGAAGAAAAAAGGAGAAAAAAAGATGTTTTTCTGCAATGGAAGGAGTCAGCTTCTCATCCCTCTAGCTGTGCTTCAGCCTAGATGAGAGGAGATCTCAGGGTCCCACATTATTAATGCACTGTCTGTATGAATAACGAGCAGGCTTGGTGAATTATTTCACACTCCTGGGAAAATCTATAGCCCTGTCCTTCTGCAGCACCACGGAACCGAGCGGGAGTCTCGTATTTTTTGATTTGGTGAATTCAGATGACTTCATTTGTGAAGAGGAAAAAAATGTATCTGCTCCCTACTGACACCCATTTAGTAAGCTCAAAAAAAAAAAAATTCACAGCGTATCATATACACTATTAAATAGAGGCAGAGAGAGAAGCCTAACTTTGTGCTGGAATATTTTCAGACTTTGCTTTTGTCTGGAAACATGTCTTCTTGAAATGTCCTTGGAGTTGCCCTGCCATTGCAGCCAGTGCAGAGGAGCTGACTTTATGGAGGGTCATCCTCCTCGTCATAGCACCCAGTGCTGTTTGGAAGTGTAGGCATGTTGTGGTGGCTGAGGCACACCATGGGAGGATATTCAGGGGTTGATTTGTAACCAACATGGGATGAAGTTCCCATTTGTGCCGTGTGTATGCTGCCTGCAGACCT